TGTCCATCTATTAATTTTCTTAACTGCATCCTCAAATTGGGGTCACGTATTTGGTTTGAGCTTTTCTTTTTGAAGTAATAATGGATACAAGGATCAGTGTGTGCAACTGTCTGCCTCTATGATTCAATTGGGTGCCTGATTTAAAAAGTTTTTCAACTTGGTTAATTCATAATGTAAGATGTATCTGGCCACCTGTTGGATGTCCAGTATTGACTTTTCTTTTTAGCTCTGCTCTCCCACAGTCCCTTAAAGACATGTCCAGCTAATATTATCAATTGCTCTAGCTAGTGGTTAAATCCTTCATGGTGCGTTCTCATTTGCTGCTCTGGAGGATGCATTTGATTCACTGCTATAAAAATGATGAAATTAAATGGCACCCAACTAGAACACATACCTGCACGCTGTTCTTGCAGAATGCCGGCCTTGGGTATTGAATCCATCCGCTGCTTCCAATTCCCGTGGATATGATTATGCAGTAAAGGAGCCGCAGGTTTCTCTTGGCATTTTCCTGCTTTATTGTTTGCTGAAAAAACCACCCACTTAGAATTTAGTTGATTTTTAGTAAACCTAAGGTCATCACAGCTTCCATTTTCCAAAAGGAGACCAATAACTAACCTTTTCTGCTTCTTTGTGTTTACTTTCTTTAATCGATTTACCCCTGTAAAGCACTTTGTGACTGTTTCTTGTCTCTAAAAGTGCTTTAAAAATAACTCAAAGTTACTTTACTTACTTTTAAACAGAAAGTGTTTGAGTACAGTCTCCAGTGGATGATCGTGCTGTTTTTTCCCTCCGGTGAACCAATCAATACCAACCTTCTTAGGTTTTACTTCTGTGTCCGAGCGGTATTTCCAAATCAAATCTTCACTCTCCACAAGTGGCTTTTAGAAAATGCAAATTGTCTTCCTGACAAATGATACCTGATTAGTTTTTTAAAGAACAATGCATCTGATTGGATAAGCCTCTCTTGAAAAGTTGAGGTATCGATTATCTGATGTTGCACAATGTGACGGCCACTTGACTCGACTTTTCTACAGCAATGGAAATCCTGGCCTGTGACAGGCTTCCTGTAGAGGGTTTCAATTGCAGTAATAACTTTGTATTAAGCTCTTGCTGTGTGTGTGCGTGTGTGATTCAGCCTCGTTCAACCTTTCATTACCATTTCTCGCCATTAAATAAGTATGTTGTTTGTAATAAGTAGCAAAACAGGTGCTCTTATGTCAGGTTCTGATTCTTTCAGATTGCATAACCAAAAA